TGGATTGGTCAAGAAATTTGTCTTTAGATATTTTTCAAAAGAAAACTAGTATAGATCCACACAGACTGGCTTACTAATTTCTAACAGCAACTGTGTTGCAGCTATAAAATAGGATTTTGTACAACAAAGTGTAACTGGTCTTTGGTTGTTGCTACAGCTAGCTATAATGAATGACGGTACACATACAAGTCAATGGTGCAACGTGATCATCAGCAGTGGATAACATAGGTAGTTGCAACCAATTCCACATTGTGGATTTTAACAAACCACTTTGGAAAGTCCCAAAGTTCTTCTGTTAAATTTTCCAAAGTATATAATATAGAGGGGGGGGGTGTTGTTAACTATGTGGGCCTTGAAGTACAGTATATTTAAACCCCAAAACAAAAAAGTAATATATTACAGCATCCTTAGGTGTGATGACTACATTAGTTTTCTTTATTTTCAGGCTTTTTTTCTTTATTTTTACCAGGTGTTCCTGCCAATAACACCTGTTCTAGGATGACAATCCTCACTCACTGTACTATATCTATAGAGGGTAGGGGCGCTGATGGAGAGGGGGAACCATTGGTCTTCATGTAGGGGGCCCGGGCACACAGGGGTGTCTGAACAGCAGGAGGAATCAGTGCAGAGGGGCAATTACAGAAGGATTCCCTGTATGGCTCTCTGTATTAGCTGAAAGCCAGTTTCTCTCCCTGCCGTCAACTTTCACCTGCTGCCAGGAGAGACACAGACACAGGGCATCCTTCTGTAATTGCTTCCCCCTGAACTGATCCCCCTCCCTGTTCTGCCTGGTTCTGATTCCCCCATGTGCCTCCCTGTCGCTGTGCCAGTCCCCAACCCCCATCTTCTTGCAGTGCTGCTGACATCCCCAGTGCCAGTCAGCAGCTGCGGGTACAGTGAATATGTCAGCACGGAGAGCAGAGGAAGTGACCAGAATATATGTCATTTTTTGAATAAAGTGTGTGATCGGTACCAATCACTCCTGTGTCCATAGATAACGGAAGTATAGTAAACTGTGTTTACTATGCTTTAGTTTATGAATGAACAGGAGACTCTGTGATAATTCCTACACCGTTCACCTGATTTGGATGTAAATACCCTCATATTAAAGCTGACAGTCTGCAGTTAAAGCGCATCTTGTCTGTTTCATTTCAAATCCATCGTGGTGGTGTATAGAGCCAAAAATGTTAGAATTGTGTCGATGTCCCAATATTTATGGACCTGACTGTATGAGATAGACTCATTACATGCAATTGTGATGATTATGGCTTACAGCTCATGAAAACCCCAAATCCACAATCTCAGAAAATTAGAATATTACATGCAATCAATAAAACAAGGATTGTATATAGAACAATATCAAACCTCTGAAAAGTATAAGCATGCATACAGTTGCAAGAAAAAGTATGTGAACCCCTTGGAATTACATGGAGTTTTGCATGAATTGGGCATAAAATGTGCTCTGAACGTCATCTAAGTCACAACAATAGGAGAACACAGTTTGCTGAACATAATACTACACAAACATTAGATGTTGCCATGGTTTAATTGCACATAACATGTAAACATTCACAGTGCAGGGAGGAAAAAGTATGTGAACCTTTGGACTTAATAACTGGTTGACCCTCCTTTGGCAGCAATAACCTCAACCAAACGTTTCCTGTAGTTGCAGATCAGACCTGCACAACGATCTGGAGTAATTTTGGACCACTCATCTTCACAAAACTGTTTCAGTGTAGCAATATTCTTGGGATGTCTGGTGTGAATCACACTCTTAAGGTCATGCCACAGCATTTCAATTGGGTTGAGGTCAGGATTCTGACTGGGCCACTCCAGAAGGCGTATTCTGTGCTGTTGCAGCCATTGTTTTGTTGAATTACTTGTATGCTTTGGGTCATTGTCCTGTTGCATCACCCATCCTCTGCGGAGCTTAAGTTGGCGGACAGATGGTCATACGTTTTCCTGCAAAATGTCTTGATAAACTCTGGAATTCATTTTCCCATCAATGACAACAATCCGTCCAGGCCCTGAGGCAGCAAAGCAGCCCCAAACCATGATGCTCCCTCCGCCATGTTTTACAGTGGGGATGAGGTTTTGATGTTGGTGTGCTGTGCCTTTTTTTCTCCACACATAGTGTTGTGTGTTCTTCCCAAACAACTCAATCTTGGTTTCATCTGTCCACAGTATATATTGCCAGTAGTGCTGTGGAACATCCAGGTGCTCTTTTGCAAACTTCAAACGTGCTGCAATATTCTTTTTGGACAGCAATGACTTCCTCCTTGGTGTCCTCCCATGTACTCCATTCTTGTTTAATGTTTTCCTTATTGTAGATGTGTCAACAAAAATGTTAGCATGTGCCAGAGATTTCTGTAGGTCTTTAGCTGACACTCTGGGATTCTTCTTTACCTCCTGCAGCATTCTGCGCTGTGCTCTTGCAGTCATTTTTACAGGGCGACCACGCCTGGGAGAGTAGCAACAGTGCTAAACTTTCTCCATTTGTAGATAGTCTGTCTTACCGTGGACACATGAACATCAAGGCTTTTGGAGATACTTTTGTAACCCTTTCCAGCTTCATGCAAGTCAACAATTCTTGATCGTAGGTCTTCTGAGAGCTCTTTTCTGCGAGGCATGGTTCACATCAGACAGTGCTTTTTGAAACCAGTAAACCCAAAACACGTGTGTGTTTTTTTAAGGGCAGGACAGCTGTCAGCAACACATCCAATATCATCACACTGATTGGAGTCAAGGTTGGCTCACTCCTGGCTCCAATTAGCTCTGGGAGAAGTCATTAAACTAGGGCCTCACATACTTTTTCCTCCCTGCACTGTGAATGTTTACATGTTATGTGCAATTAAACCATGGCAACAGCTAATGTTTGTGTAGTATTATGTTCAGCAGACTGTGTTCTTCTATTGTTGTGACTTAGATGACGTTCAGAGCACATTTTATGCCCAATTCATGCAAAACTCCATGTAATTCCAAGGGGTTCACATACTTTTTCTTGCAACTGTATGTACTCAGTACTTGGTTTGGGCCCCTTTTGCAGCAATTACTGCCTCAATGCGGTGTGGCATGGAAGCTATCAGCCTGTGGCACTGCTGAGGTGTTATGGAAGACCAGGATGCTTCAATAGCGGCCTTCAGCTCTTCTGCATTGTTCGGTCTCATGTCTCTCATCTTTCTCTTGGCAATGCCCCATAGATTCTCTATGGGGTTCAGGTCAGGTGAGTTTGCTGGCCAATCAAGCACAGTAATCCCACGGTCATTGAACCAGGTTTTGGTGCTTTTGGCAGTGTGGGCAGGTGCCAAGTCCTGCTGGAAAATGAAGTCAGCATCCCCATAAGCCTCGTCTGCAGAAGGAAGCATGAAGTGTTCCAATATCTCCTGGTAGACAGTTGCGTTGACCCTGGACTTAATGAAGCACAGTGGACCAACACCAGCAGATGACATGACTCTCCAAATCAACACAGACTGTGGAAACTTCACACTGGACTTCAAGCATCTTGCAGAGTGTGCCTCTCCATTCTTCCTCCATACTCTGGGTCCTTGGTTTCCAAATGAGATGCAAAAGTTGCTCTCATCAGAAAAGAGGACTTTGGACCACTGAGCAACAGACCAGGTCTGTTTTTCTTTAGCCCAGGTAAGACGCTTCTGACGTTTGTTGTTCAGGAGCGGCTTGACAAGAGGAATACGACATTTGAAGCCCATGTCCAGGTGTCAGGAATGGACTTGCCAGTAATGGTGGGACTCACCTGCCTTCTGGGCTGCAGTACCAGGGCTGGCCAGCGGGTGCTCTCAGCAATCAGAGACTCAACCCTGCAGCCAGCCAAACACCTGAAGCTGATTATGCAGGTGTATTTAAGGGATGGCCAGACCTGCAGTCTGTGCCTTGGTGTGTGTTTTTCCATGGGCCCCTGTATCTTGTAACCTGCCTTCCTGTTCCTGCCTCTGCCTCTGCCTCTGCCTGACTTGTTGCCGACCCAGTCTGATCCTGACCTCTGCTGACTTCTCCTGTTTTCATCCCTGGCTTGTGACCCTGTCCATTCTCTGCGCCTGCTCCTCCTGTACCTACCTGCCCGATAGTTATCGACCCGGCCTGCCTGATTACGTTGTGCTTTATATGTGTATGTACCTGTGTATCTGTATCAGTTTTTGGTTTGGGTTTGTTTCACCTTGTTGTATGTATTTGTGTTAGCTTGGGGTTTGGTGCACTGCGTTTATGTTTGTATTGTTAGTCTTTAATAAATTGTCTTATTGTTTATAACATATCTGAAGCCTGTGTTTCCCTGCGTCAGTTCACATACCTCTGGTCATACCCGGAGCCCTGAAATTACACCAAGGCCAATCCTGACCAGAAGTGGCTGCACAGGGAAGCCATCTTGGCTTGTTGCTGGGAAGGATGGATCTTGATGAGGTTGTGTATTTGTCGCTGCTAGTTTTTGATGACAGAGAATATGCTTATCAGACTCTGAGGGAGTATACCCGGGATCAACTGCTAGAATGTATACGGATCGCTCATGTTCTAGTAGATCAGGGCACAGAGTTCTCTGAGGTGCAACCTTTGATTCAGGTTTGTGTAGAGTTGGCTTCATCTGGTACCCCTGAAAGCAGGAATGACTTTTTGCCACCATTTAGTGCAGACCAGGTAGAGTCCCTGGTATGGTTATTAGAGGATTATGTGGATTGCTTCTTGGAGCATTATGCTGCATGTTCACCACAGGTATTAAGGGATTGTATAAACGCAGTGCAGTCTTTGGTCAGACAGGCTTTGTGTAAGCTGAGCTTTGTTCAACCCATACTGCAGACATGGTCAGACTTGTTGCACCCAGCCTCAGTCAGCTTGCAACATCATTCCTCTGCTCAAGGCACTCTTCCTGCATCCCCGACAGTACCCCCAGTGACGGCCCAGTATACTCTAACTACCACATATCAGCCCTCTGCTCTCACTCGCTGCACCTATCCTGCCTTTAACCCTGTAAAGAAGTCATCTGTAGCAACTGCTCCATCCTCTGTTCCATCCTCCAGCTCTTATCTGTCTTCAGCTGCTCCATCCGTTTACAAACCTGTGCTTACTTGCAGTGCTCCGGTAACTAAAACCAGAAAAAAAAAACGAAAATTCTTCCCAACCAGTACCATCCTGCCAGTATCCAAACCGGTGAGCCTGCCGTCTGAGAACCTGCCTTCCGTGGTTCAGCCTGGTGCCTCGGCACCCGCACTTCAGCCTGATGTCTCTACCCAGCCTGATGTCTCTACCCAGCCTGATGTCTCTACCCAGCCTGATGAACTGATCCAGCCTGATGATCCTATCACGCCTGATGACCCATTGCCCGCTGATCATGCCTGGTGACCCGATGCCCACTGTCGAGCCAGACGATCCAATGCCTGATGACCCGGTGCCCGCTGTCGATCCAGACGATCCGGTACCTGATGACCCAGTGCCCGCTGTCATGCCTGGTGACTCGATGCCCGCTGTCGAGCCAGACAATCCAACGCCAGATGACCCGGTGCCCGCTGTCGATCCAGACGATCCGGTACCTGATGACCCGGTGCCCGCTGTCATCCTTGGTGACCCGATGCCCGCTGTCGAGCCAGATGATCCAATGCCTGATGACCTGGTGCCCGCTGTTGTGCCAATTGACTCAGAGCCCACTGTCGTGCCTGGTGACTCAGTGCCCTCCGCCTTGCCAGATGATGCGGTGCCCGCTGTCGAGCCAAATAACCTGATGCCTGGTGACCCGATGCCCGCTGTCGAGCCAGACGATCCAATGTCTGACCCAGTGCCTGCGGTCATGCCAGTTGACTCGGAGCCCACTGTCGTGCCTGGTGACTCGGTGCCCACTGCCTTGCCAGATGACGCGGTGCCCACTGGCGAACCACATGACCTGATGCCTGGTGACCCGGTGCCCGCTGTCATATCTGGTGACCCGATGCCCGCTGTCGAGCCAGACAATCCAATGCTTGATGACCCAGTGCCCGCTGTCATGCCCGGTGACCCGATGCCCGCTGTCGAGCCAGACGATCCAATGCCTGATGACCCAGTGCCCGCTGTCATGCCTGGTGACCCGATGCCCGCTGTCGAGCCAGACGATCCAGCGCCAGATGACCCGGAGCCTGCTGTCGAGCCAGACGATCCGGTACCTGATGACCCGGTGCCCGCTGTCGTGCCAATTGACTCAGAGCCCACTGTCGTGCCTGGTGATTCGGTGCCCACTGCCTTGCCAGATGACGCGGTGCCCGCTGTCGAGCCAAATGACCTGATGCCTGGTGACCCGATGCCCGCTGTCGAGCCAGACGATACAATGTCTGACCCAGTGCCCGCGGTCATGCCAGTTGACTCGGAACCCACTGTCGTGCCTGGTGACTTGGGCCCACTGCCTTGCCAGATGACGCGTTGCCCACTGGCGAGCCAAATGACCTGATGCCTGGTGACCCGATGCCCGTTGTCGTGCCTGATGACCCGGTGCCCGCCGCTCCGCCTGGGGGCCCGGTGCCTGCCGCCCCTCCTGGGGGTCCAGTGCCCACCGCTCCGCCTGGGGGCCCGATGCCTGGTGCTCTGCCTGGGGGCCCGATGCCTGTCGCCCCTCCTGGGGGCCCGGCCCCCGCTCCGCCGCTCCGCCTGGGGGCCCGGCGCCCACCGCTCCGCTTGGGGGCCCGGTGCCTGCCGCCCCTCCTGGGGGCCCGGCGCCCGCCGCTCCGCCTGGGGGCCCGGCGCCCGCCGCCGCCCCGCCTGGGGGCCCGATGCCTGCTGCTCCGCCTGGTGGCCCAGTGCCCGCCGCTCCGCCTGGGGACCCGGTGCCTGCTGCTCCGCCTGGTGGCCTGGTGCCTGCTGCTCCGCCTGGTGGCCCGGCGCCCGCCGCTCCACCTGGGGGCCCGGTGCCTGCTGCTCCGCCTGGGGGCCCGGTGCCTGCTGCTCCGCCTGGTGGCCCGGTGCCTGCTGCTCTGCCTGGGGGCCCGGTGCCTGCTGCTCCGCCTGGTGGCCCGGCGCCCGCTGCTCCGCCTGGGGGCCCGGTGCCTGCTGCTCCGCCTGGTGGCCCGGTGCCTGCTGCTCTGCTTGGTGATCCGGTGCCTGCTGCTCCGCCTGGGATTCCGGTGTCCGCCGCTCCGCCTGGGGGCCCGGTGCCTGCTGCTCCGCCTGGTGATCCGGTGTCCAACCCGATGTGCCTCTGCCTGGAGTCCAGCTCGATGTGCCTCTGCCCGGAGTCCAGCTCGATGTGCCTCTGCCCGGAGTCCTGCCCGATGTGCCGCTGCCCGGAGTCCTGCCCGATGTGCCGCTGCCCGGAGTCCTGCCCGATGTGCCGCTGCCCGGAGTCCTGCCCAATGTGCCGCTGCCTGGAGTCCTGCCCGATGTGCCAGTCTTTGATATCCCGCCAGTTACCAGACCCGGGCGGTGGAACATTTTGCCCAGCTAGGACTGTTTGGAGTGTCCTGAGGCCGCTCCTTGAGGGGGGGGGGTACTGTCAGGAATGGACTTGCCAGTAATGGTGGGACTCACCTGCCTTGTGGGCTGCAGTACCAGGGCTGGCCAGCGGGTGCTCTCAGCAATCAGAGACTCAACCCTGCAGCCAGCCAAACACCTGAAGCTGATTATGCAGGTGTATTTAAGGGATGGCCAGACCTGCAGTCTGTGCCTTGGTGTGTGTTTTTTCATGGGCCCCTGTATCTTGTAACCTGCGTTCCTGTTCCTGCCTCTGCCTGACTTGTTGCCGACCCGGTCTGATCCTGACCTCTGCTGACTTCTCCTGTTTTGATCCCTGGCTTGTGACCCTGACCATTCTCTCCGCCTGCTCCTCCTGTACCTACCTGCCCGATAGTTATCGACCCGGCCTGCCTGATTACGTTGTGCTCTATATGTGTATGTACCTGTGTATCTGTATCAGTTTAGGTTTGGGTTTGTTTCACCTTGTTGTATGTATTTGTGTTAGCTTAGGGTGGACTGCGTTTATGTTTGTATTGTTAGTCTTTAATAAATTGTCTTATTGTTTATAACATATCTGAAGCCTGCGTTTCCCTGCGTCAGTTCACATACCTCTGGTCATACCCGGAGCCCTGACACCAGGATACATCTGTGTGTGGTGGCTCTTGATGCACTGACTCCAGCCTCAGTCCACTCCTTGTGAAAGTCCCCAACACTTTTGAAGGGCCTTTTCCTGACAATCCTCTCCAGGCTGCGGTCATTCCTGCTGCTTGTGCACCTTTTTTCTTCCACACTTTTCCCTTCCACATAACTTTCTATTAATGTGCTTTCATACAGCACTTTGGGAACATCCAACTTCTTTTGCAATTACATTTTGAGGCTTTCTCTCCTTATGTAGGGTGTCAATGATGGTTTTCTGCACAACTGTCAGGTCAGCAGTCTTTTCCATAATAATTGTGATTCCTACTGAACCAGACTGAGAGACCATTTAAAGTCTCAGGAACCCTTTGCAGGTGTTATGGCTTAATTATCCGATTAGAGTGGGACGCTTTGAGCCTAGGATTGGACCTCTATTCCAGCCCTACTACAGGCTCCAGGGACCTGAGCTTTTGGATTCACTAATGTGATGTTGTGTACATTAGTACAACATGGGCAGAAGCCTGTTACTTTTAGAGCAAAGAAAACTAGTCAGAGTAATATACAGGCAGTCCCCGAATTACTTATACATTCGACTTGCATGCGGCTCGTACTTAAAGCAGAGTTCCAGCTGGAAAATAAAAACTACAAAAACTGTAGCTGCTGACTTTTAAAATACAGCCGCTTACTTGTTCCTTGGTCCAGCAGTGTCCTCACCACCGCTGTTTTCACCAGCTGTCTTCTCTCCCTGGTGCCGGCATCTTTAGTGTGGGTACTCGGCTGTGACCGCTTGCGGTTTCACAGCCGGGTGCCCACTGCACATGCCCCATAGTCTTCTGGGACCTGTCGTGTCCCAGAAGACTATGGGGAGGACAACTTCTGCTTCCTATTGCCTAGGCAATCGCAGTGGATGTGGGAGAGGGTTCCTGTCAAATTTGAGTACCTGCTTCCCAAAGGTGCCAATCCTTAATGGGGAGTGGGGGACAAAGCATTAAAGCAGAACTTCCCCTTTTGGGTGGAACTCCGCTTGCATGATGTCGCACTGGACCCTGAAACTGATGGACAGTCATCTTGCTGCTCACCACATGCTGCCATCTACTGTATGACAGACCTGTCAGCAATCCCACATCACTGCATGGCCAGTTAACCCTTCCCTATGCTATCGAAAACTTAAAAATCATTTTTTGGCTGGAGTTACATTTACAAAATGTACATGTTCCAATTTACATACAGATTCAGCTTAAGAACAAACCTACAGAACCTATCTTGTTCATAACCCGGGGAGTGCCTGTAATAGGTATCCAGAGACAGAGTCTGATTCATGATTGGAGTCCTCTTTGTAACTAGTGGTATCGCACAGAAATCTTCATTAGAGAACCTTGCAAGGAGCCTTTTTCATTTTTATAAACACAACACTCCTAGGCTGAAGGACCTATGACTTGTCTACTAATGACAACTAGACAACCAGAATGAAAAAAAGAGATTTATCAAACAAAAGCATTATTTGTATATACGTGGTCTTGAGCATGTAGAGTTCTGGAGGAGGTAACAGAAGGAAGGATAATGCAAGCAGCAAACAGCCAAGCACAGGAACTGGGGATTAGGTCAAGGTGCTACCCAAGTTAGTGGACAGGACTTTATATAACAGGGTACTTAAATCCAGATATACAGGTCAGGGAGGGAGCTAAATAGAAGACTGGCTGGTAAAGCAGGATCAAAAGGTTCAGTCCAAACACAGGATACACACAAACGAGCGGAGGAGTAGTCAACTAAGAGTTCCCTATTTGTAAGATATTGCAGTCATATTTAGTGCATGTTTTGCACTAATAGTTATTTTAGTATACCATCCAATAAAATGCAAAACATCTACAATGTAGCAGTCTGTAACTATTAGAGAAAAATGAACACGTATGCAAATCGGATCATGCTTTGCTGGGTTTTTTTTTTGCCTTCATCTGGATCAACTGTGGGTATAGGATTATAACTTCTTTTTTTATGGTTGAACTGGTTGGAATTTTGTCTTTTTTTCAGGCAGGTAACTTATATGTAACTATGTAAGGTCAGAAAACAAGAGCCAGAATATTATTATTATTATACAGGATTTATATAGCGCCAACAGTTTGCTCAGCGCTTTACAATATAAAGTGAGACAATACAGCAACAATACAGTTCAATACAAGAGGGTTAGGAGGGACCTGCTCCTTGGAGCTTACAATCTAAGAGATAGGGGTTGATAGTAAGCCGTGGAATAGGGAGGAGGTAGAATGTTCAAAATTTCTTTTGAAAATGATTAAGAAAACACTGAGGCCAGTATGTTTTCAATAATTTGTCATGGAGGGGTGGGGGGGG